TTTCCTGTAATGAAATGGTTTGAGAACCCCTCCCCTCTTTTTATTCATTCTCACCTGTATTCACTGTAGATGATATTTTTGGAACTCTACAGCACTTTCCATATTACAGTAAAGAAAAGAACATCTTTATAAGGTATATGATTGTGTTAAAAGTAAAAAAATGCTGATTGTGTTTTAGTAATTAGTTTCTAATCAAATCTACCACTTTTATCAACTATTTCTTTTTATGGTTTGGGACTGATTTATAAATTACTCATTCTCCATGGAAATCATTGAAATTTATTAGGAATAGATTTTTTCAGCAAATATGACAAGGAAAATAGGAAAAACAACAGATCTAGTATATTGAGGTATATATTATTGAGGTATATATACATTAGATTAATGCTTGGCATAGTGGGTAAAGATACTGCCTGCATTACTGATATGCGATATGGACACTGGTTCGAGTTCAGGCTGCTCCACTTCCAATCCTGCTCCCGGCTAATCATCCTGTGAAAGCAATAGAAAATGATCCAAGTGTTTGGGCCCTTGTACCTCCATGGGAGGCTCAGATGAAGCTCCCGGCTCCTGGCTCCTGGCTCCTGGCTTCAGGCTTCAGCCTAGCCCAGCCCTGACCACTGCAGCCTCTTGGGGAGTGAATTAGTGTATGGAAGACCTCTCTCTGTCTCTGTAACTTTGACTTTCAAATAGATAATGAAAAAAATCTTTTAAAAAATTTTGTATGTACCAATTGAGATAGGAATGTCTTCTGTAAAGTTACAAAGTAAAGAGAATGTATTTCCATGACATACTCTGTATGTAAGTAACAGCCCATCTACATTTGAATGGAAAACTATACTGAGAAAAATAGATTAAGAATTTTATGAATTCTCATTCAAATATGTAGCATTCATTTCACTGAATATAACTTTAGTTTCTATTTATGAACTTGGAAGCATTCATTAATAGCATGACAATGTGTATGCTTTAGGCTTTTGTAAAAAAAAACTTTTCACATAACTTAAAATTAACTCCTTTTAAAAAAATGAATTTAAGAGGCAGAAAGACAAAACACAAAAACAAACAAACAAAAAAACGCTTTCATCCCTGGATCCATTACCCAAATGCCTGCAACAGCTGGGGTCAGCCAGGCCAGAACTGGGAGTTGGGAACTCAATCCTCAATCCAGGTCTCCCACACTGGGGGCAGAGACCTGACCACTTGAGTCATCACCTGCTGCCTCCCAGGGTGCATATTGGCAGGAAGCTGGAAACAGAGCAAAGCCAGCACTTGAATCCAAGCTCCAAGCAGTCCTACATGGGATGCTGGCATTCCAACCTGCAGCTTAACCACTTGGCCAAATGCCTGCCCCCAAATCAACTCTTTCTAAAGCAAACAATTTAGTGGCATTTGGTAGATTCAGTGTGTGTGACAACTGTGTCTAATTACAGCATTTTATCCTTGCAAATGAAAACCCTGTGCTCATTAAGCAATTGCTTTTTGTTTCCACATTTCTGAACTCCCAGCCCTGGAAAATCACCAATCAGCTTTCTGTCCCCTATGAATTTACCTCTTTTACCTATTTAATTCAAATGGAATCTTATAAGCCCAGTCTTGTATTGGGCTTTTTTCACTTACCACAGTGCTTTCAAGGTTCAATTATGTTGTACCATGTATCAGTATTTCATTCACTTCTGTGGATACATCATAACTCCACTGTGTGTTTAGACTATATCCTGTATATTCACCCTAAGTGGCCATTTGAACTATCCTTTGGTTATTCTCAACAGTGCTGCTATAAATGTCTTTGTCCAAGTATTTTTTAAGTATCCTTTTTCTTTCTTTCTTTCTTTCTTTCTTTCTTTCTTTCTTTCTCTCTCTCTCTCTCTCTCTCTCTTTCTTTTGACAGGCAGAGTGGACAGTGAGAGAGAGAGAGAGAGAGACAGAGAGAAAGGTCTTCCTTTGCCATTGGTTCACCCTCCAATGGCTGCCATGGCCGGCGCACCACGCTGATCTGAAGCTAGGAGGCAGGTGCTTCTCCTGGTCTCCCATGTGGGTGCAGGGCCCAAGCACTTGGGCCATCCTCCACTGCCTTCCTGGGCCACAGCAGAGAGCTGGACAGGAAGAGGGGCAACCAGGACAGAATCTGGCGCCCTGACCGGGACTAGAACCCGGTGTGCCAGTGCCGCAAAGCGGAGGATTAGCCTAGTGAGCCACTGTGCCGGCCTTAAGTATCCTTTTTCAACTAGGACTAGGAGTAGGGTTGTAAAGTCATATGATAATTCCATGTTTAACTTTTTTCTAAGAAATTTTCATTTTATATGAAAGGCATAGTTACATAGAGAGAGAGAGAGAGAAACAATCTTCCATCCACTGGTTCACTCCCCAATGACTGCAACAGCCAAGGTTGGGTCAGGTTGAAGCCAGGAGCCAGAACTTCACCCAGATCTCCCACATGGGTACAGGGACCAAGCACTTGGGCCATCATTCAATGATCCCAGGCACACTAACAGGGACCTGGTTTGGAATTGGAGTAGCTAGGAATTGAACCGGCACCCATATGGGATGCCAGCACTGCAGGTGGCAGCTTAACCTACCATGCCACACCAGCCCCTATAAGTTTACCTTTTTGAGAAACCAGCAAACTGTTATCCACAGTGGCTGGGCCATTTTATATCGCAGTGACTAATGGATGGTGGTTCCAATTGCTCTACATCCAACCAATACTTGTTTTGTTTGTTTGTTTTGATAGTAATCATTATAGTGGTGTTAAAGTGGTATCCCACTGTGATACATTGATTCCTACTTCCCTCGAGAGAATCTTTGCATGTGTTTTTGCCCATTTGTATATCTGGTTATTCTAGTTCAGCATATTATTAAACTTGTTTTTTGTTTGTTTGTTTGCTTGTTTGAGTGATAAAAGATCTCTGTAATCTATGTACTCTTCATATATATTAACTGTATCTCATTCTGTAAAACATCTTTTCACTTTGTGGAAGTGATAGAGAGTGATAGAGACAGACAGGATGATAGACAGGTAGGTCCTCCAACCACTGATTCACCCCCTCAAAAGCCTGCAATGCAGTTCTGGGCCAGAATGAAGCCAAGATCTCAGAACTCAAACCAGGTCTCCTGCATGTGTGGCAGGGACTCGACGACTTGAGCAATCACATGCTGCCTTCCAGAGTGCAAATGAACAAGAACTGGAAGCAGAGCCAGAACTCAAACTCAGACACTCTGATACTGAATGATGCATCCCAAGTCCTAACTTCTGCACCAAAGACCTGCCCCAACCGTATGATTTCGATGAGATTCAGTGTATCTGTTTTTTTCTGTTGCTCAGTGTTCTAGTGTCTTAAGAATCCTTTGCTTCATCCAAGGTCATGAAGATTCACCCTTTGGTTTTTGTCTCTGAATCTTTAACCTTCAATTGTTGATTTGAATAGAGTAAATTTTTGTACAGTATGAGGTAGGACTTCAACATCATTCTTCTGCATGCAGATGTCCAACATGATTTGTCAAAAAGGCTATTCCCTCCACGTTGAATAATCTCGGTACTCTTATCAAAATCAGTTGGAACTAGATGTATGGATTTATTTCTGGAGCTCAATTCTAATCAATTGGTCTACACTGCTATCCTAGGTCAGTTCCAAACTGTTTTAACTACTATAGCTTTATAGTAAATTTTATTCCTTCTTCTTTTTTCTAAATTGACACAATTGTGTTTTTTATTATGTACAAATTAATATTGTAGAGCATCCATATATTCTTTTTAAATTTATTGTATTTATTTGATAGAATTACAGAGAGGGGTAGAGACAGAGAGAGAGGTCTTTCATCTGCTGGTTCACTCCCCAGATGGCCGCAACGGCAGGAGCTGCACCCATCTGAAGCCAGGAGCCAGGAGCTTCCTCCAGGTCTCCCACATGGGTGCAGGGGCCCAAGGACTTGGGCCATCTTCTACTGCTTTCCCAGGCCATAGCAGAGAGCTGGATCAGAAGAGGAGGAGCCTGGACTAAAACCGGCGCCCATATTGGATGCCAGCATTTCAGGTCAGGGATTTAACCTGCTGCGCCACAGCACTGGCCCCATTCATATTTTCTTAAATGGTTTAAATTTTCCAGTAAACATGATTTCTCACATAGTTTTCTCATAATGACACTAGTTAATACCATATTATCTTCTTGAACATTGTAGTAAATTTTTAAATTCGAAAGAGGAAGTTCAACCTTATTCTCCATGTTCAGTATTGCCTTGGCTGTTTAGGCCCTCCTGCCAATCTATATGTGAATGTGAGGTTTGACTTTCCCACTTCTACACAAAGACTTTTAGATTTATAAATCAGAGATTGTATCAAATGTGTAAATCACTTCAGTAATATTGTCATTGGATGGCTGGGTTCAAATTCTTATCTCTGATCAAGGAAAGAGTTTGAGAACGTGATGTAAGCCAAGGTTAATAAAGTAATAAGACATTGTTAACAAAGCAGAAGCAAGCACTGGAGAGGCAGTGTGGGCATGCTTCAGTGTGAGCTGTGCCCAGCAGGTTCATGGATATCCCTTTCTATGATTTCAAAAGAGCAGAGGGATTGAATATTCACAGGGAGCAGTATTTGGGTTGAAATTTGAGTACCAGTCATTTTCTTGTCTTTTTTTTTTTTTTTTGGAAATCTCAGAAAGTTTGTGGAAAAACGAAATAAACGATAAAGTTATTTTAGTGCACACATTGGAAAATTCTTAAATATGCCTTTTTGTTGTTGTTATTTACAAGTTCCATGTACTCTGTGAAGATTTCTTACTCTTGTTGGCCTCTTGGGTATCTGCTATTGAGAAATGTCTATTCAGATAATTTACACATTTAAAATATGTGAGTTTTTGGCTGTTGAATTTTTTTGAGTTTCTCACATATTCTGGGCATTAATCTATTGTGAGATGATTACATTGTTAATATTTTCTATCATTTTTCAGTTATCTATTGTTAGAGTCGACTGCCCGAAAAACGTCACCAAGAGACATCTCTTATGCAAACAGCAAGGGGAAGCTTTATTGATTATCCAGCATGCTGGGGCTGTCTGATCATCATGAGCAGAGCAGCCCCGAATAACCAAAGGTTAGGGTTTATAAAGGCAAAAACCGCCAAAACCGGGAAGGGGGGAATACATGGTTGCTATGCACGGTTGCTATACACAGTTGCTAAAATCAAAAGAGAGTACATAAAATCAAAAGAGAGTATATGGTTACTGGGGTCAACATAACCTAAAACCTAAGTGAAATTAATATTTATCATAATCTTGACAATACCAGTTACAATATTACAATCAGCAATTAGGACTTGACATTAATGTAAGACACAGACAAATCACATCTTCATTATTAGCCCAGGTAACCCAGGTGCAACCTTTCTACTTTTAAGCTTGAGCAATCATGCTAGGGGGTTTTTGTGTGTTGCCAAGGGTGATGTAGTGCACTGCTATTGTCCAACTATTTGAGATCATAGTTTCAGACCAGAGTCTCACGGTGGGGGGTGCTTTCCCAGAATGCAGTCTCAAGTGCTCCAAAATGGAGTCCCTACTGCCAAGGTGCTACTCTGTCTTATTTTTTTACAGCTGTACCAGCAAGGTTTAAACCTGTAAGCTTAAGCTTAACTTTTTACACCCGCACATATACAATTTTAACTCTTCATTCCCCACTCCTTGTTGTGAGGATCTCTAATCTTAGAGATTATTTGTGTTTTTTAATGTGACATATTGTTGTCTTATGATCATGAGTTTAACATTTTTAATTTGTTTCTGCACGAAGGTGATGAGTCTATTTAACACACAAGGTCTTATGGTTACAATTAGGAGTAGAACAATTAAGGGTCCTGCTAGGGCTGACAGTAGAGTAGTAAGTCATGGGGACTGGCCGAACCATGACTCAAACCATTTTTGTTGAGTTTCCCTCTCCCGTTGCTATTTTTTTTTTTTTTAGTTGTTTTCTGAGTTTGGCCATGGAGTTTTTAACCACCTGGGTTCAGTCAGCATAAAAATAGCATTTTTCCTTTAGGGCCTTACATAACACCCCCCCACCCCACGAAAATGAGATCCAACCCCCGCCTGTTCTGTAATACTGAAATGCAGATACTGGGCTGCATCTGGGAGATTGTGGAAGATTTGTCAGGCAGAAGGATCTCCACCTGGCAGGTTATCAGGTAGAAGGGGGCAGGGCAGGATGCAAAGGCCGGGCTGCCCATGAAACATTGTCAGGATGACTGAGATGCAGATGCATATGCTGGACACATTAGGCCTTTATGTCACACACACATAAGCTCATAACTGACTTTCTGCCTAATATTTTTTTTTTTAAGAGGTAATACCCAAAATTCTTCTTTGGGATTATGGATGGAGTTCCGTCTTCTGTAACTTCTTCGAAGCTGGCATGTGGGCGTCGAGGGGGATTTGGGTATTTCCTCTTGCTACCTGTCTTATGGTGTGCAACAGTGGCCTTGGAAAGACTGTACTGCTTGGTCCAGAGGGCTGTTCAGGTAGTCCAGTGGAATGGGCTGGAAGCCTTGTCTGACGACCATTTGGAGTTAACAGCTTTTAGTCTGTTAGAGACAAAACAAATAAGGGCATTAAAAACACACGGTGTAAGTTTCAGTACAGGAGTGGAGGGGACCACTTCCCCCTGGACTATTGGATAGACTTTTAAGGCCTGGCAGGGTGTGTGAGGCCCAGACCTATCCATGGGGTGCTGTTAAGAAAATTGTAAGAGATGCAAATCTCCTTTAAGGGAGGCACCCTGTTGACTCGCATTACATGGCTGGACTAGGAGAGTTAAATAGGAGGCTGATAGAAATAGGCAATTTACGTTTTACTGACCCTAGGCCATCCCCAATAGCAGTGGCTGGAGCTGGAAGCTGGGCAGAGGCTGGGCAGAGCCAAAGGCTTTTTGGCTCGGGGCCACAGGGTCTGTAGTTCTGAACCAGGAGTCCTTCGACACCCAGGGCAGTTCCGTGTCCAGTGGCCATGCTCTTGGCAGGGCTGACAGAAGGCATTTGCTGTTACGACAGCTGCTTGCCCAACGCCCTGGCTCCTTATATCAGCAACAGGTGCACAGGTTTGGGGTGCACTGGCCTTACTGGGTCTCCTTGACGGCAGATCACCGTGTAAAGCAGCCATTGATTGGCCTGTTGCCCATCCATACATTGCTCCTGCTGCTAGCTTGCTCCTCATTCCACTGGTCTCTAATAAAGTGGACCATGGAGGCAGCCTCTATGATGCCAGTCAAGGGGGGTGCCCAACCCAACCCTGATTTTTGGAGATTTTTTTAATATCAGGGTGAGCTAGAAAAATTATGGTCATGGGCAAATTCTGACACTTAGTATTTTCCTGCGAGTTAAGACCGTGCCCATGAGGAGAACTATGACCCTTTAGGTAAGATCAACTGTGGTGACCTGTTTGCATACTTTGAGGTCATTAGTGTAACTTTTTACACCGAAAAATTTATCTAGTTGTCACATTATTTTACAGTTTAACCCCCTTTTTTTATTATTATTATTATGTTGTTTGGGGCCCTATACTGTGGCCAGGCATTATTACAGAAAAGGTCAGTCATCCCTTACATAAGGTCTGGGGATCAAACCGTACGTCACAGTGGAGAGTCCTGCAGAACAGTAGTAACTTCCCTTCTGGAAGAAAAAAGAGGAGAAGTGAGGCAGCGAGTTGGGTCTCTAGCCTGACTTTTTTGGGCTTTTAGATTTAACTGGCAGTTTAACCAGTGTTTACTGTGTAGCCTGACTTAGAGGAGAAATTGTGGCAGAGGTCTCTGCCATTCTTTGGCTTCCGGGTATTTACCGTGTAGCCTGTAGACACGAGAGCTTTCTTGGGTTTCTGGAACCCAGTTTTCTAGCATCTGCCACATAACCATAACTTAACAGAGACAGTAGAGTACACAATGGATTAACATGAATTTTATGTCTCTTGTTGTCGAATAAACCAGAAATAATAAAAAAAAAAACCTGTATATAAGAGTTTACATAATTTAGGATTATTTAACAGAGTCAAAAAAAAAGAGCTTACAGGACCTAACTCTAGAAATGGCAGAGTAACCGAATAAGCAGACACTGTTAAAATAGACGTTACAGTTTTTGCAGAAACAGATTCCAAGATTTAGGATTTAGACCATTTTTAGATATTTACTAATATTAGTACACTTTTTTTTTAAACTTTATTGTTATAATAGAAGATTAGACTTTAACTTTAGGTCAGTGTAATTTTAGCATTAGCACTTAACTCTGTAAATAATATTTTAAAATTATAAACATTTTAAAACTTTTTATGACTTGTTTACACCTTTTGAAACTTTATACTTATAGTTATTTTTACATAGTCTTGAATTGTCATGTATGGCCAACCTATGAGAATACATGTTAACAAACTCAAACAGTTTTTTTTTTTTATTGAATTTGAGATGTTAAAAGTATATATAATATATTTTTCCAAGTTTTACTTAGCACTGATGCCTAGATGACTTAAGACATTGAGTTATTAATGAATACCACACCATTATCTGAAATAAAAGTTAAAATTACATTTTTATGTTTTTAAGTAACACAAGGATAACACCTCCTGGACAGCAAACATTAGTGTATGTTTACAACTTTGAAAAGATCTTTCTCATTAAGAGAAACAAGTTTAAAGCATATTAAAGACATGTAAAACTGAGCAAGCAAGCCACTGAGCAAACCGAAGGGCATTTGCATTACCTCAATTTTCTGAACCAATCTGTATTGGCTTTCTTTAGTTAACAACATAAAGGCTTGTATACACAGAATTTACTCTTATTTTTATAAGACCGCTTTAGCTGGAAAGCAAAAACATAAATACAGCATAGGTCTGACACTATTTATAATATTTTAATATATTTTATATAATCTGAATTGACCCAAGCAGCTGTTACTTTAACAAATTTAGAGTCTCATCCTTTGAGAGTTCCAGGGATCCGACTGGAAGCCCAAAGTTGGAAGACTCGGTTTAGAATTTAAGCTGTCAGAGAGTCAAACCATTTAGCCAAAATTAGTACATTTCTGATCAGTTGGGTAATTACTTAGACATTAAAAACAGATAAACAATGTAAACAAACTTCGCGCTGTAGTTTTTCCAATCAAGACTCATAATGGCAATAGAAAAACGCGAAACCTTCAAGACAGGTGAACGCTCTCAGATGAGTCAGGGACAGCAGCACAGAAAAGAGCTGATTATCAGCATATGAACCCATTGTTTAGGTTTTTATTAACTGCAAAGAGAAAAACCCATCAGTTTGGAAAGGGTTAATGGCTTAAGGTTCTGGCTCCCTTAGGTAAGGTCAGCAGTGGTATTGAATTGGAAATTCCTCCAGGAGAGGAAAAAGAAGCAGCCCTGGGGTGGGGGCCTAGAGATATTTGGAGTGCAGAGAAAGGCTGTGGTCCCCCATTTACAGGGAAGACTGCGCACACCGGGGCCTGGCAGGACTAGCCGTGGGGTGTTGGGAACCTTCTATAATTTAACCAAAGCCAGATTAATTAGGACTACTGCAGACACTCAGTCAATTACAACAGATAGTTAACTTTAGCTCTTTTCCAGATTTAGTCCTCAGGCAATCAAAGCTTAGCAACAGTAATAGTTTACAAAAAACTTTTAAGACGCACCAGAGCTACCATAAGCTGCAAAGACGGAAAACTTTTTACCCGGTTGGAAAGGGTTAACAGGTAACAGGTAACAGCTTTTCCCCAGGTGGAGAGACCTGTGGAATTTCCCTCTCCCTTTCTCCTCGCCAGTGGTATAGGAATGGAGATGAGGAGAGCAAAAGAGTGGGGGAGGGAGCCCCCGGGAGGAGAAGGAAGGCAGAAAGCAATGAAGCTCCTCATGTCTGGGGGCTGAGTGGGGTTTGAAATCTCCTATCACTCAAGGTTACCCACTACCTAGTTGTCTGAGTTTACCTGGAGGGCCAATATTAGCCTCGACCGAAGCTAAGCCCTGCTCGCGTAGCAGTAGGCAGCGTGACCAGGCGTCCCTCCGAGAGAGAGACCTGGTCCTCGGGTCGCAGTCCGGCCGCCGGGAAGCCAAAGCGAGCTCAGGGGGTCTCCAGGCTCTCAGCCAACTGCCCTTCCTAATTTCCCTCCCATTCCTTACAATCCCTCTGGAGTTTCGGCCGTAGCTAAGCCGTGGCCGGGGGGACTCCGCGTTCTCGGAGAGCTGTGGGGTGCCGGTCACTCCCACAGATCCGGTCCCGCTTGAGGGAAGGAATACTGACCTCCGATGTTTTCTCAAAATCCCGGTCTGGGTGCCCATGACGGCCAGGCAGGAGAACGGCCTCTTTCACTTGGCGAATGAGTGGTAAATGGAGAGCCCTCCGGGGGGCCATTCAGAGGCACAGAAAGACTGCCACTTTACCTTCTTGACTGACAAAGAAAGGTTATGTGCCCGGTCGCTTACCTCCGACCAATGATTCAAAGTTAGAGACAAAGGTGTAGACACAGTCTGGCCCATGTTAGCAGACATCACAATGTACACGAACAGACAAACAGTGTAGAGAATCAGCACACAACAACCACACAAAGTGTCCATAAAGGAATTGAGATAAACTACTGGTCGCGATGATGCTGGCAATACAAACACAGACTCTGGAACCGCCTCAGAGCCCTGTGAGGATGCCGGTAATACAAATGCAAGCTCCGGAACCACTTCAGAACCTACAAATGCAGACTCCAGAACCACTTCAGAGTCACGCGACAATGCTGGCAATACAAATGCAGATTCCAAATCTACCAAACGGGAGCCATCACAGCACCCCATACAATGCTAAATGACAAGAGAACACAATCAACAAACAACAAGACAACCAACAAAGCACCTTACAACTACAAAAGACTAATAATAAGAAGGCCTTACCGGCCACCCCGTCTGTGCTGGGAATGCAGACTCCACGCCTGCCCCGTCGGAAGTATCTGGGCGTCCCCAGCCTTCCTTTGTCCTCCTGAGGCGTCCCTCAGGGCCGTAGCCTGTGGCCCCGGGCACGTCTGCCGGCCACAGCCAGGAAGGGCTCACGCCCTGTCCCAGCAGCTACTACACCAGCACAGTTCCCAAAACCCTAGAGCGCTCACAAACTACCAAAATCCAGAATGAAGAGACACAAACCACAAATAAGCCGGCCGACAACACAAATAGGCGCCTGCACTTACCCCGAGAGATATCCGTTGGAGACGTCTGCAGGCAGCAGTCAGATCTCGCTGGGGCCTCCAAATGTTAGAGTCGACTGCCCGAAAAACGTCACCAAGAGACATCTCTTATGCAAACAGCAAGGGGAAGCTTTATTGATTATCCAGCATGCTGGGGCTGTCTGATCATCATGAGCAGAGCAGCCCCGAATAACCAAAGGTTAGGGTTTATAAAGGCAAAAACCGCCAAAACCGGGAAGGGGGGAATACATGGTTGCTATGCACGGTTGCTATACACAGTTGCTAAAATCAAAAGAGAGTACATAAAATCAAAAGAGAGTATATGGTTACTGGGGTCAACATAACCTAAAACCTAAGTGAAATTAATATTTATCATAATCTTGACAATACCAGTTACAATATTACAATCAGCAATTAGGACTTGACATTAATGTAAGACACAGACAAATCACATCTTCATTATTAGCCCAGGTAACCCAGGTGCAACCTTTCTACTTTTAAGCTTGAGCAATCATGCTAGGGGGTTTTTGTGTGTTGCCAAGGGTGATGTAGTGCACTGCTATTGTCCGACTATTTGAGATCATAGTTTCAGACCAGAGTCTCACGGTGGGGGGTGCTTTCCCAGAATGCAGTCTCAAGTGCTCCAAAATGGAGTCCCTACTGCCAAGGTGCTACTCTGTCTTATTTTTTTACAGCTGTACCAGCAAGGTTTAAACCTGTAAGCTTAAGCTTAACTTTTTACACCCGCACATATACAATTTTAACTCTTCACTATATATTCTGTCAATTATTTTGTCTGCTGAGCAGGGAGGGTCTCAAAGAAATGTCTGCACTTCCATGTTCACTGCAACACTATTCAAAATACATTAAGTATGGAAACAACAACGTTCCATCAAGAGATGAGTAGATAAAAAACCCACATATATACACAACAGAATATTATTCAGTCATAAAAAGGAGTGGAATCCTTTTGTGTGAGGCAACATAGATGGCAATGGAGAACACTATGTTTAGTGATATAAGCCAGGCACAGAAATACAAACATTGCATGTTCTGACTGATATGCAGAAGACGAGAGTAGAAAAGGGGTCACTGGAGGCAGCAGGGAAGCTGGAGGCAGAGATAATGGGAGGCTACATAAAGAGCACTAAACTACAGGGAGGAGGGAGGAGTTCTAGGGTTACAATTTATCACAAACCTTATAAAGAATCAGGAGAAAAGAGTTCAAAGACTTTGAAAAAAGAAATAACAAATGCATAACAAGATGCAAATAATTACTCTTATTTGATCATTGAATGTTGTATACATGTTTGAATTATTACACCATACCTGATAAATATGTACAATTATGTGCTAGTTTTAAAAAGAAATTCTATAGTATGTCTACATAAATACAGTCTATGATCTTTGACAAAGTTACAAAAACATTCAAATGCTAGTAAAGCAAATGGTCATCTTTATGCAAAAAATAAATAATCTAGACAGAATCTGCACACCTTTCACATAAACTAATACAAAATAAATCAGATTGAAGTGTAAAATGCAATTCTACAAAATTTCCATAAGGTAAGATTGGAGACTGCCTTGCTGATACTGTATTTGATCATGACTTTTTATAGGGAAGGACAAAAAAGTTCTATGATAGAAAAAGTATAAGTTGTATTTTATTAAAGTGAAAAACTTGGGGCCGGCGCTGTGGTGTAGCGGGTAAAGCCACCACCTGCAGTGCCGGCATCCCATATGGGTGCTGTTCGAGTCCTGGCTGCTCCACTTCCAATCCAACTCTCTGCTATAGCCTGGGAAAGCAGTGGAAGATGACTCAAGTCCTTGGGCCCCTTCGGGAGACCTGAAAGAAGCTCCTGGTTCCTGACTTCAGATTGGCGCAGCTCTGGCCAATGCAGATAGTTGGAGAGTGAACCAGTGGATGGAAGATTCTCTCTCTCTCTGCCTCTCCTTCTCCCTCTGTGCAACTCTGACTTTCAAATAAATAAATAAATCTTTAAAAAATAAAGTGAAAAACTCTTGCTCTATGTAAGGCATTATAAAGACAATAAAATATAAACCAAAGACTGGAGACAATATTTGCAAAGCACCTAATGAAGCTATTATACCTAATATATGCAAAGAAATCATGACATTCAACAATTAAGAAACAAGTGGATTAAGAAATGGATAGAAGTTCTGAACAAACAGTAGATGGTAGAATCTATAAACATGAAAAAAATGAAGCATAAGAATATTTGGTCAGGGGCCGGCGCCGTGGCTCACTTGGTTAATCCTCTGCCTTTAGCACCAGCATCCCATATGGGCACTGGGTTCTAGTCCTGGCTGCCCCTCCTCCAGTCCAGCTCTCTGCTGTGGCCCAGGAGGGCAGTGGAGGATGGCACAAGTGCTTGGGCCCCTGCACCCGCATGGAAGACCAGGAAGAAGCACCTGGCTCCTGGCTTTGGATTGGCGCAGTGCCGGCTGTAGCAGCCATTTGGGGGGTGAATCAACGGAAGGAAGACCTTTCTCTCTGTCTCTCTCTCACTGTCTATAACTCTACCTGCCAAATAAATAATAAATAAAGAATTGAACATTAACAAAACAAGATACCAGTACATACCTATTAGAAAGTTTTTAATTCAAAGAACTGAATAGCAAATGCTGGCAAGAACATGGAATAACAGCAACTGTCATTTATTCCTGGTAGGGGTGCAAAAATGGCACAGCCACTTTAGAAAGACAATCTGGTAGTTTCTTATAAACCTAAAATCTTACCATATATCATGCTCCTAGATATGCCCCCTTTTGACTTAAAATTTTATACTAATGCAAAAACCTACATAGACATAGTTATGTTAATTTATTTCACAATCTTCAAAAATTGGAAGCCACCAAGTTGTCCCTCAATGGACAAGTGGATAAGCAGGCTGTGGTACATCCATACACTGGAGAATTACCCATCAATACAAAGAAACGTACTATGCAGAGGAAAGTCACGTGGTGCCGCTAGTTAAGCTCCTGTTTGTGATGTCTGCATCCCATATCAGAGCCCTGAGTCAAATCCTGGCTATTCCATTTCCTTTCCAGCTTTCTGCGAGTATGCCTGGCAAGATGACCAAAGTACTTGGGCCCCATCCACTGACATGGGAGATTTGGATGGAGTTCCTGGCTATGTGCTTCAACCTGGCCCAACCCTGGTTGTACTGTATGGGACACACTGAAGCTATAGTAATAGCTAATTTTAAGGCTTTTTTTTTTAATTTAGGGAGTAGATATTTAGTCTAGTTATTAGGTGCGGTGGCATAATGGGTTAAGTTGCGACTTGCAATGGTGGTATTCCATATCAGAGGACAGGTTTTAGGCCTGGCTGCTCTGCTTCCAATTCAGCTCCCTGCCACTGTGCCTGGAAAAGCAGCAGAAGGTTGCCCAAGTGTTTGGGTTCCTGCCAGCCATGTGGGGGACCTGGATGTTGCTGGAATTTGGGGTGTAAATTAGCAGATGGGACATCTCCATCAGTCTGTCTATCTGTCTGTTTATCTCTGTGTGTTCGTCTGTTTTCTCTCTCTATCTCTCTGCCCTCAAATAAATTTTGAATTTTGAAATAGGAAAATATATCTTAAGATATAAAACAGGCTATATATGAACTAAATGTGGGCCATAATCTTCAATATTAATAGATCACTTGCAGCTGTGGTTCAAAGGTAAGTTTAATAAATTTACAGGATAAGATATCCCATCATTTCAACATTTTCAAAGATGATATCCAGAATATTAATACATATTCCATGTTTATTTTTTAAAAAGATTTTATTTATTTATTTGAGAGGGAGAGACAAGAGAGAAAGATCTTCTATCTGCTGGTTCACACCCCAAATAACCACAAGAGCTGGGGCTGGGCCAATATAAAGCCAGAAACCAAAATCCAGGAACTTCTCCTGGGTCTCCCATGCAGGTGCACTTGGGCCATCCTCTACTGTCTTTGCAGGCCATAGCAGAGAACTACATTGGAAGTGGAGAAGCTGGGACTCGAACCAGTACCCATGTGGGATCCTAACACTGCAGGCTGCATCTGTGCCTGCTATGCCACAGAGCCAGGGCCCTCCAAGTTTACTTTTTTTTTTTTTTCAATGTAATCTTTGAGCTTTTTTTTTTTTTTAACTTTTATTTAATGAATATAAATTTCCAAAGTACGATTTATGGGTTACAATGGCTTCACCCCATACCGTCCCTCCCACCCACAGCCCTCCCCTTTCCCACTCCCTCTCCCCTTCCATTCACATCAAGATTCATTTTCGATTATCTTAATATACAGAAGATCAGCTTAGTATACATTAAGTAAGGATTTCAACAGTTTGCTCCCACACAGAAACATAAAGTGAGGAATAATAGATGATTTTTTTTTAAATGATGATGAAATCAGATCAGACCTATTGTCATGTTTAATCCCAGTGAAAGTCAAGTTGGGAGTTGATAATTTTTTTTTTTTTAAAGCTAACCTTTCATGCTGTTGTTTCATAATAAGTCAATGGGCAGTTTTAACAACTATGACAATTAAGTACCAATTCCATGTCAATATGACACTAGTTCCTAGGGAAATCTGTCAGCTTCCTCTTGGCAGGTTGGTAACAATGGACTATTTTTTTCAGATAGGACACCCACCCTGGAGCTGCCTCTACTCAGTGCTTCTGACAAACTATCCTGGCTGGACATACAGAATGCCTTATCCACCATTATGGTTTCCACCCGGCATTTTCCCAGGTGAATGTTCATTTTTTACTTTCCCTCTCAGAGTCAGATAATTAGTGAGTGCATGCATGTTTTCATCAAGTACAGAACTAAGGATTCAAATAAAATTAAGTAAGACTTCTATCCCTGAAGAGGTTACAGTCAGGCTAGGATAAACACATATAAATACAGAATGGTGTTTGGGCCCCCTTGAGATTACACTGCAATCAAATTAGTATAAATAGAAAAGACTCTTCATTTAGGGTTTGCTATGGCAAAGGAGTCAGTTGATTTCACTGGAATTTGCACAACACTCAAAGGCAAGGAGAGCAGTATAAACAATTTACAGTAAAAAAAAAAAAAAAAAAAAAAGGAAGCATCGGGTGTACCCTGATTGTGGATTGTGGCACAGGGAAGCTGGAGGCAGGTTAGCCAGAAGTGAGCATGCTATGTAATTGGTGAAGGGGGCATATCTGTCTCCTCTAGTTCATTCTAAGGTGGAAATAGGGGGAAAATAAGGGAATCTAAGTTACTGATTAAGTCTTGAGTAGCTGGGCTGCAGATGTTGCAGTTTGATTCACTGTGCTGGTGGCTCCAGTCCGGAAGCTGGTGGCTTCTGTTCTTCTATGTGGCCTGACCATTGTCTGTTTCTGTGTTCAGACTCTGTTGTATCGAAACAGGTAGAGAATGACTGATGCAGGATATTTACATCCCTCACAACAGTCAGGAGAACATTTTGTGACACTGGGAGTGTGCGAATGAGTCCACATCCGCAGGATCCACGGCTTCACCATGTGCCTGCCTCACCAGGGCAGTGGCGTGGTGAAGTCCAGTTACGGGGTCAGGTTATGAACACTACTCACTGAGATCATGTAAGAACCCAACAGATGGCATACAAGCTCAGTCTGCAACAGCTGATGAGCATTCGCATCTGAGAACCCAGGAATGATTTAGGATTCGTTCTTCTCCCCATTGTTCCAGGGATCCCAAAGCAGAATTTGCATTTCTTGAAAAAATTGGCATGAGCTAAATTAGAAGTCTGACTGCTTCAACTTTGTATGTAGAGAATTACACACAGAAGGTAAGTTCTTCCCCTTCTTTCCCTTAGGAGTCAACTCTTGAAATGCAGCGTATGTGGCTACCAGAGAGCGCTGTCTGGGAGAAGTAGCAATGAGTGCCACTTGGTACCATCTTCACGCCAAGTCTCCGTCCCTTCAGCTTCCTTCTGCTGTCTTTCCCTGCAGCACCCTATGATTGCCTTCCTGACAAAGCGGCAATGCACACACCAGGGGCTCTGCATTCTGTGGATCCCACCCTAACAGAGTACAGTCTCAAACATAACTGCTAGGTTTTCACTTTACGGAATGCAATTCAGAGAATTAGGATACTTGAACACACATTAGATTTAGGACCAAAGGATCATTTGTACAGTTGGACTTGAGGACTAATTTAGAATTATCAAAGAAAATACAAGTGAAAAATATATTTTTTAAAAGATTTATCTATTTATTTGAAAGGCAGAGGTACAGAAAGGCAGAGAGAGAGAGAAGTGCTCCATCCACTGTTCCACTCCCCAAATGACCACAACAGCTGGGGCTGCGCCAATCTGAAGCCTGAAGCCAGGAGCCAGGAGCTTCTTCCAGGTTTCCCACACAGGTGCAGGGGCCCAAGGACTTGGGCCACCATCCACCGCTGTCCCAGACCATAGAAGAGAGCTGAATCAGAAGTGGAGCAGCCAGGGCTTGAACCAGTGCCCATACAGGCTGCCGGCACTGCAGGCATTGGCTTTACCTGCTACATCACAGTGCTGGCCCCCAAAATTCAGCTTTTTACTAAGATTTATTTTATTTATTTAGAAAGGCAAAGTGACACAGAGACAGAGAGAGAAACAGAGAGAGAGAAAGTGAACGAGCCAGGAGCCAGGAACTCCATGTACGTCTTCTACATCAGTGGCAGGGACCAAAGTACTCGGGCCATCTTCTGCTGCCTTCTCAGGCACATGGGCATGGAGCTGGGTGGGGAACAGAGCATTCAGGACTCAAACCAGAGCTCTGATATGAAATGCCAGTGTCACAGGTGGCAGCTTAGTCCACTGTGCCACATCGCTGACCCCTGAATGAGGAACCTGTATACATACATGGAGCTGGAATGTGATCAGAGTTATATATAAAATAGGAGTAGAATCAACAGGGCATGGATTTTAACTGAAACATGTAGCATGGATTGTCTAGGGAGAGCGAGTGGGGCCATATGACAAGCAAAACCATGAGCAGCCCTGGAGAGGATGACAAGAATTACTCAAGATGAAGAAAATGAAATTGTGTAGAGGCCGGCTCCGTGGCTTAATAGGCTAATCTTCCACCTGTGGCGCCAGCACACCGGGTTCTAGCCCGGGTCGGAGCGCCGGATTCTGTCCTGGTTGCCCCTCTTCCAGTCCAGCTCTCTGCTGTGGCCCGGGAGTGCAGTGGAGCATGGCCCAAGTCCTTGGGCCCTGAACCCCATGGGAGACCAGGAGAAGCACCTGGCTCCTGCCTTCAGATCAGCGTGGTGCGCCAGCCGCAGGCCATTGGAGAGTGAACCAACGGCAAAGGAAGACCTTTCTCTCTGTCTCTCTCTCTCTCTGACTGTCCACTCTGCCTGTCAAAAAAAAAAAAAATTGTAGAAGCAAAGAAGCAGCTGAGGTGGGACACAAAACAGCAGAGTCAGGGAGTGTGGAGGTGAAGTTCAGGTAATAGTTTGCTTCTGACGCCATAGCCCATAGCAAGCATAGTAAGGTCAAGGATAATAAATGCCCAAATGCAGCTGGTTGATGTAGGATTGTGACTATTAGTGCTGGCACTGGGGAGAGGGGTGTTGGAGAAGCAATCACTTGCAGTAAGGGGACAATGGGACAGCAGAGAAGTTGGGGATTAGGATACGTTACAGAGATCAGAAAAAGCACAGCGTGTCCTATAGACGTCTCACAGTTGGTGACGTTAAAATATACAAATAAGATTGAGTCAGATGCCACACATCCACATGAATTTTGTCTAAGAAGACACTTTGCATTATCAGTAAACGTCTCATAGTGTGGGGTATGGAGAGAGCTGTGTCCACCTTGGTAAACATCTAATGCAGTAATTTCTACAATAGCTGTCGTCACTAGACTCCATGGAGTAACTGAGAAAATGTCCCCTCCTCTCCGCCTCTCTCTCTCCCTCTGTGGTACTGGAGCAAACAGTATTAGATAAATTAGAATTTATCTAATTCTCAAAGAGATCCCAAATCCCCAAAAGATAAATAGCCACATATGGAGGGTATATTCCAGAAGTTCTGCTTGCAGGAGATTCATTGCTTTTAGAAATGTTTTAAATTGCTGAACAAAAATGCAAGACTGTAATTATGATCTCAAGTACGCTCGTGTAGAGCTGAAGTGTGGGAAATCATGCAGACCCGGATAGCAGCGAGATAATTACAAGCAGCATGCAGAATATAATTGTGGGTGCAAATGCCAAGAACTAAGAGAAGCATGAACAAATAATGGATCTGAAAAAAGAAATTAATTTAAGGGAATCAAAGTGCTGGAAGGAGCAGGTGGGAAAGAGGGTTTAGGTTTCCCTGGAATGGTTACAGAATGTTGGTAAATCTTCAGTCTGCTGAATTATTAATTATATTTGGAAAATGAGGATATCAAATATTGATAAAAAGAGTATTTCCTTGGGCAGGAGTGATCCATATCTTCCTCAAGGTATCTCCTGTGGTTAACATAAAAAGAAGCAAAAAGTGATAATTTGAGAAGTACCATAACAAGAAATATAATAATATGATATTTTATATAATTAATAGGTCCATAATCTCCATTGTTAGGTCACCTTTCTTATATTAAACTCAGGTTTGTAAATGTTACCAAATATAACATGCTGCCACTTTTTAGATGTGATTTTCCTCTTTTATTCTATTTTCATAAATACTCAATGTGGGCTATGCATTACTAGGAAATTCAAAAAGAGTCTGGGTCTATATGTGATTCTAGACTCTGTCTTATCATTTTTCATTCATGTATTTAGCTCAACTGAGCTAGACTATAGTTCCTAAAATAAGAGTTCAACTCAAACACAGGCTATTAAGTCTGCTGCTTATATCTTCTCAGCTATTTATCAGTTCGATCCTAAATGCTTCCCACTTTTTCATCAAACAAACGCTTTCCAACATAGTCCAAGTTTTGCATGGTATTTTTTTTTAACTTTTTTGCCTCCTCTTCATGTCTCTTGTTACTGAAGTTGGAGTTTTCCTGTTGAGCCCTGAACCCTAATTTTCCCTTCTACCATGAGCGTCAAGGTTAGTGAGCATTTCCATGGTACCAGCTACCTTGAAGTGAATTGTGCTGCTATTTTTTTCTTTCCATTTTTCTATATGGCAGCCCAAGCACCAGCCAGGGCAGATTCTAATGGTTATGTAGGCCATCATGGCTGGAAAAAATAATCACAATAAAGCTAAGCTCAAGAGCTTTACAATCTGAAAGCCATCCCTTCTCATCTCATCAACTCTTACACAGCTCCTAGCCCTGTGTTGAGTTTCCTGAGATCTCCATTTGGTACTCCTGGCATTGAACATTTATAATGAAGTGGGCCCAGACGTGGTCAGGGTTAGCTGACTATGGCTTCTCAGGCTCGAGTGTGATGCTAACCTCTCATCTGCTCAGCCAGGTACTCATTGCAGCCAGGTACTGAGTGCATCCAGGTGCAGAATGCATTGGAGGTCACAGTCCTTCAAGGGTCCCCTGTCTGTTGCAGTTTGGAAAAAGCAGATGAACTTCCAGATCCCCAGCCAGAACACGGCACGTTGGTCTCACACCTGGTGAGACAGGAAACTTGGTGGCTTATGAGGCCATGAGCACACATGCATTAAGTTCAAGGATGGGGGCCGGCCTAGTGTCTATGAGGCTCCACAACTCCCCAGAAACTGAATAAAAATACCATGGCATTTACAGAGGCTGCAGGAAAAAGGAAAGTACTTTATATTTAATGGAGCTTTTCTTTCTTTCTTTCTTTTTTTTTTTTTTTTTTTTTGAACAAGAAAACTTGCATTTTCATTGTGCACCAGGAACCACGAATTATGCAACTGACTGTGGGCAGGGCTGCTAGATTTCAACCATGGTTTTACACTGAATAGTTTTTCTTGTTTATCAGGCAGTACAGTGAGGGTTAGGAGTTATCTAAGCATTTAATACTTTCTGTCTTCCTCACTCCATCCAAAGTGTGTAAAAGCAACTCTGGAGAAGGACAGGCAGCAGTGGCAGGGCACCATGCAAGGAGAGAGCTGTAGGTGTTCTGCCATGGACTTGACCTGTTTGGCCAATATTTGAGGACATTGTAAGGGTGAGGGTGGAAATCCAATGGCAGCATCTAGACAGACTCATAATGTTAAGTCATGGGTGGATTCTAATCATCTTGGTGAGGTTGCCCTGCTCTGCAGGGAGGTTTCTTTGATCACTGGCTACCATAGGAAAAGTGCATGGAGGCTGTCTGAAAGGAGGTAGTGGGCACCAAGGGCAGTTTGCATCAATCTAGGGCTACCTGGGGAAGTCTGTGGAGAGTCTAGGAATGGAAAAAAATCATCATTCATTGTATTTCGTGATACTGTTGAAATTTTAGGTCATCATTTGGGGCTGAATTTTTTTTTTTTGACAGGCAGAGTGAACAGTGAGAGAGAGACAGGGAGAAAGGTCTTCCTCTACCATTGGTTCACCCTCCAATGGCCTCTGTGGCCGGCGTGCTGCGGCTGGCGCACCGCGCTGATCTGAAGGCAGGAGCCAGGTGCTTCTCCTGGTCTCCCATAGGGTGCAGGGCCCAAGGACTTGGGCCATGCTCCACTGCACTCCCGGGCCACAGCAGAAAGCTGGACTGGAAGAGGAGCAACTGGGAAAGAATCTGGCGCCCCGACTGGGACTAGAACCCGGTGTGCTGGCACCGCAGGCAGAGGATTAGCCTAGTGAACCGTGGCGCCAGCCTGGGGCTGAATCTTTACATCTGCTGAGGCAAACAATTACAGAAATGAGAAAGAAATTTATGTTTGAGTTCTTTGGGCTTGTAGATTAGGGCACTGTAAAATACCTTCTCTAAGACCTTTTTCCTTCTCTCCATTCCTCCCTCCCTCCTTCTTGTTTTCCTTCCTTCTTCCCTCCCTCCATCCTTCTCTTCCTTTTTGTCTATAATAGTGATTTGAAATGTGTACCTTGAGAGGAAAGGATTTGTGTTACATTCGTTGTATGTTGCCCAGCATGGAGCAAGGAGCTTGGTGTTGAAATCTACCAAATGTCTGATGGTCTCCAGGGCTTGGAGGGTTTTGTTTGTTTCAAGGGAAGAAGCTGTTGACTTCTTGGCCTCCTCCCTGATCTGCTTACAGATTGAATTTATCTTTCTCCATCTCTCTGTCCTAAGACAGGCTTGGGTAACCATGCTTTCATTTAAGCAATACGGGAAAACATTCTATACAGTTTGAATAAAACTATTTTCTTCTAATAGTTTATATTTGTTTTTGAATGACTTCTATTTTAGATCCCAGTTAGAATTGGGGGATTTTAATATTTTAAGACTCTATGGGGCAGATGTGGTATCATAACTGATAAAGCTGCCGCCTGAAATGCTGGCATCCACAATAGGCACCGGTTCCTGGCCTGGCTGTTCCTCTTCTGCTCCAGCTGCCTGCTAATGGCCTGGAAAAGCAGTGGAAGATGGTCCAACTGTTTGGGCCCCTGCCATCACATGGGAGGCCTGGAAGAAGTTCTTGGCTTCATTCCAGGCCTTTGCGTCCCTCTGGGGAGTGAACCAGTGGATAGAAAATATCTCTCCTGAGCCGGCGCCGTGGCTCAATAGGCTAATCCTCCACCTTGCGGCGCCAGCACACCGGGTTCTAGTCCCGGATGGGGCGCCGGATTCTGTCCCGGTTGCCCCTCTTCCAGGCCAGCTCTCTGCTATGGCCAGGGAGTGCAGTGGAGAATGGCCCAGGTGCTTGGGCCCTGCACCCCATGGGAGACCAGGAAAAGCACCTGGATCATTGCTCCTGCCATCGGATCAGCGTGGTGCGCCGGCTGCAGCGGCGGCCATTGGAGGGTGAACCAATGGCAAAGGAAGACCTTTCTCTCTGTCTCTCTCTCTCACTGTCCACTCTGCCTGTCAAAAAAAAAAAATAAATAAATAAATAAAAATAAATAAATAAATAAATAAAAAAAGAAAATATCTCTCCTGGCCGGCGCCGCGGCTCACTAGGCTAATCCTCCGCCTAGCGGCGCCGGCACACCGGGTTCTAGTCCCGGTCGGGGTGCCGGATTCTGTCCCGGTTGCCCCTCTTCCAGGCCAGCCCTCTGCTGTGGCCAGGGAGTGCAGTGGAGGATGGCCCAGGTGCTTGGGCCCTGCACCCCATGGGAGACCAGGAAAAGCACCTGGCTCCTGGCTCCTGCCATCGGATCAGCGCGGTACGCTGGCCGCAGCGCTCCGGCCGCGGCGGCCATTGGAGGGTGAACCAACGGCAAAGGAAGACCTTTCTCTCTGTCTCTCTCTCTCACTGTCCACTCTGCCTGTCAAAAAAAAAAAAAAAAAAAAAAAGAAAAGAAAAGAAAAAGAAAATATCTCTCCTCCCACTCTCCCTCCCTCTTCCTCTTTCTTTGTAACTCTGGCTTTCTAATAAATAAATAAATAAATCTTTTTTTAAAAAAGCTCTATAGATAATAAGCCTCTAAGATATTTGTTGAGTTTAAATACACAAAAAGTTTCATGCTAAATCCAAATTGCATAGGAGATATCAAATTAAATTCATATTATTGAAGAAAGGGAGACAGCAGTTTTAAGATACATATGTTGTAACAGGCTATTGAATAGGCGTTAATAGATAAAATAACTGGTTTGCTTAACTGGTCTATTTTAATAAGATACAATGTGATGAGTCCATATAGATAAAGTTTTTCCTTTTTAGTAATCAATGCTTTTGGTAAGAGTAGTGTTGCAGCTTGTTAGATTGGGGAGCCCATAACAAGTCTGTCTCGGTCCCTAAATATTTATTAGCCTATTATTTAGCCTTAAACACTTACTATTGGGAAAGTACAACAGCTTTATTGTAGGATTGGTTTTGTAAAAGTGTACATGGCTTGAGTACATACACAATGCAAGATTTTGATAGAAGAATGAAAGCCCTAAGCAGATGGAATTTTAGCCCAAAATTGGAGACAGGATAGAGAGACTTGCAAAAGTGACTGAAGACGAACTGCCTATCTCATAATTCCTTCCCTATTCCCTCCCCTCCATCCCTCAGCCATAAAGTCAAGTGACAAGGCTTTCATGGAGTAGCCATTCTCAGCCTCATGAGATGAAAAATTATAACCCGCCAGGGGCCCTCTAACTGGTATAATCACTGCATGGCACACTTTATGAGGCAAATCCTCTAATCCCCCTCAGAAGGGCTCCATGAAATGATATAACCAACAAGCCAGTTTTCAGATTCGTGGCCTTTTTCTTTTTAATTAAAAATGTCTTGCGGAGTGTGGTTTTGGAAGCCTCCTTTTCAATTAAGAAGTACAAATATTGCTTTATCGGGTTATGAATGACTTTAATATCCCAGGAAGCAGTGGTGCTTTCAGACCCAAAGGCTGCATAAGAACCTCTGACTCTCTTGTCTAATCTCAGGATTCCCAGAATGTGCCTCAGGATGACTCGCTTCTCTGAGGAGCTGCAGCAGTGAGGTCAATTCAACAGAGGTCTTTGGGACCCACTGTTTGCTTTCCCTGCAGGTCTAGGGTTCTCATTCTGTGACCTGCGAATATGCCTCAGCGAGTCAGAAAATGCTGGGAGAGCGTGCAATGTTTGGGGTGTACATGCCTGTGTTTAGGGTGGCTGCACAGATTTCAACAGCCACTTACAGTGATTCATAACTAAGACATGGACAAGTACTACAGTGAGGGTATATCTCAACCTTAGCATTATTGACATTTGGGGCCAGATGCATTTCTGTGGTGGGCATTGTTCTATGCATGGTAAGAATGGAGGAGGTTGAGTAGCATCCACAACCTCTAACAATCAAGTATCAGTTGCAAATCCCCCAGACCCACCGGGTTTAGCCACCAGAAGTCTCTGCATGTAGTCACATATCCCCCAGGGGAGCCATCCGAAGCTGAGAATCACTGCATTTCACTACAGATATTACATAGAGATGTTTATGCTTAGCTAGCCTATGAAACTTTACTCTGTTCTTACCACATCTGGTCTCACATAATTCCAATAGGCAGCTGTATTTATCTTTAAAACAAGTGTAGCAAAAAGGCAACATTTTATTGTCTTCTGCCTCAGGGTAGAAAGAAGGGAAATATAATCGTAGCTCCTGCCCAGTTGAGCCATGGATTATGAAGTAGTCAATTCTGAGACCAAAGACGTGGATTTGGGGGGCCAGTGTTGCGGCACAGTAGGCTAAGCCACCACTTGCAATGCAGACATACTGTATCAGAGTGCCTGAGACCCACCTCCTCTGCTTTCCATCCAGCTCTCTGCTATGAACATAGGAAGGCAGGGGAAGATGTCCCAAGTGGTTGGGCCCCTGCAACCCATGTGGGTGACTAGGATGAAGTTCCTGGTTTCAGGCCTGACTTGACTGTTGGGGTATGCGCAAGAAGATGGAAAATCTCTCTTTTAGTTTCTCCATCTTTGTTGTTTTGTCTTTCAACTAAACACATTAGCTAAATAGATAAGTAAATCTATTTTTAAAATCTTGGATTTCTGTCTTAGACACTATTTTTAGTTACGTGATACTGAACATGTCCTGCTGGGGCTTCAATATACTCAATGATGGGAGGTTATTAATATTAACTAAGCCCATCTCATAGGATGTTTGAGCTTCAAATAATATTACAGATATGAAAAGATTCTGTGACCTGCAGAGGGCCATTAAAATAGAGAGTGGTAGAGAAAGTGAACTGTGTTTGTTCTCTCAGTACACATTCATGGTGGGACCCTAAAGCAGAACAAACTCTTTCCAATGTGCCCAAAATTATCTGTGATTCATTTTACCTCATCTTTTTGAATTTCCTAGTTGGAAAAGCTTTGGAACACTGATTTGTATTACTGCAGTATTACAATCTATGATTTACAAATAAGCCAGATCACACATTGGCAGAATACATTCAAAGGTGTTTTAGCAACAGAATCTTGAGAAAAATTCTGAAGACTTCATTCTGGGGAGGCACGCTCTGGGGAGCAGCATGAGCCTGTGGCTCTGGAACACTTTTTTCTTTATGTGACTGCAAAGTATTGCATTAGCTGCTTAGGGATTAAATGGGAAGTTCTTGTGCTAACTGATCATCAAGTTCCCTGCAGGTTTTCAAAATGTGGCTGTCCATGCCCAGTGGCAGAGAGGCTAAATCAAAATTCTAGAATTTCCATGGCACCCAGCATCTGGGTTTGGAGAGCAGGATGCTGAAATGCAATCTGTTGAAAGTTGACCTTCACCCTGTGCAGTTAGTGAGCAAGCTCCTAATGAATGTCTTTAGCAATTTTGCAAGTACAGGACCAGGTAAACCTAAGACTTACAGAGCAAAGAGATGCATATACGAAATGAGAAGGAAAATATTTTTTGTAGGCTGTTTCTGGAACACTCTAATGTTAGCTCTTTCTCTTTGTGTTTAACTTCAATCTCTTTGCTGTAAAGAATGAACATCTTTTCTCATTGTTGCCCCTAACCTTTAAATTTCTAAATATTAGAGAACTATTACAAAGTACTATGCATTGTAGTTTGTATCTCATTACTCTTTGTAGTTTTTATCTTTGCCAAGAGGAACCATTTCTAGGTACTGCCAGTGTTTTATGGCATGTCTCGTTCATAAGATATCAGGAATCAAGCTTAATGAAAGGAAACTGGATGGCTACCCTGGGAACCCAGCAGAAACACGTCATTCTTCAATGTTTGCAGAGACTGATCAGAAGCGTTCCTGAAAAGCTGACTCTCTTCTCTCAATCTCCCTTCCCTTCTCATTTGCAGAATAGACCCTGCATCTTCTTTGGAGCCTCACAGGCTCTCTGTGATTGAGTGGCTATGGAACCTGCTGTCACTCAGCCTCTGCCTCTGCGAATAGATGAGCAGTGTCGCCTTCTACACAACAGGCAGCTCATGGAGTAGGGAGGGGCTGGGGGGAGCCACGGAAGGCAGTATCCTCTAGAAGTCTCAACAGAACAAACCCCTCTGACAACAGTGCCCTTCTGCTTGTGCCACATAGTCTGTGGTGCCCCTCCATGGCAACCCCAGCAAACTAGTGCAGAGGGTGCCAAACGGTCATAAGGCATTTCAGACAGCTGAGCATGGGATAAGACTCAGGAAGCACTGCGCCCATGCTAAGTATGTTCATGTATTGCATTGCTTCCCCTTGGTTTTTGCTGTGTGTTTAAGATTCGTTCAATAAGCTATGTGGTTCCAGCACTTCAGTTTGTTCTCTAAGCCTTTCCATTGGACAACATCTGAATTAGCTTGTCTGGGAGGGCAACTACATGTTTTCTACCTCTTTTTAAAGGACTTATATATTTGTTTGAAAGGCAGAGTTACAAAGAGGCAGAGGCAGAGAGAAAGAGAGCGAGAGAGAGAGGGAGAGAGAGGTCTTCCAACTGCTGGTTCACTCCCCAATTGGCCGTAATGGCTGGAGCTGCACCAATCTGAAGCCAGGAGCCAAGAGCTTCTTCCAGGTCTCCCACATGGTGCAGGGGCCCAAGGAATTGGGCCATCTTCTACTGCTTTCCCAGGCCATAGCAGAGAGCTGGATCGGAAGTGGAGCAGCCACGATTCGAACTGGCACCCATATGAGATGCTGGCAGTGCAGGCAGTGGCTTTAGCTGCTATGCCAGAGCCAGCCCCAAGATATGGATCTTTATAAAAGCCAAAAGTTCTCTCTGCATTCAAATTTGGGTATAATAGAAAACAGTTCTAAGATGTAAGCATCATTAACTTGATTCTAGGAAAATTGATGCCTGGTAATGTAATTGGTATTTCTTACTGTCACCTTTTACTCATTTCTATTTCTATGTTGTGACTTTAAGAGATATTAAAGGAGACTGAAAACATTAAATCCTTACCGTTTTGGGGCCGGCGCTGTGGCGCAGTGGTTTACTTCCCTGGCCTGAAGCGCCGGCATCCCTATGGGGGCTGGTTCGAGTCCCGGCTGCTCCACTTCCGATCCAGCTCTCTGCTATGGCCTGGGAAAGCAGTAGAAGATGGCCTAAGTGCTTGGGCTCCTGTACCCACGTGGGAGACCTGGAAGAAGCTCCTGGCTCTTGGCTTCGGATCGGCAAGATTGCGGCCAATTGGGGAGTGAACCAGCGGATGGAAGACCTCTTTCTCTCTCTCTCTCTGCCTTTCCTCTCTCTCTGTGTAACTCTTTCAAATAAATAAATAAATAAATCTTTAAAAAAAATCCCTACCGTTTTAATCCAAGTATTATCTAATGTGATCATAGAAACCTGTTCAAAGTTTAACTCTATTTTTGTCTTTACTAAAACATTTGAATAATATTGTAATACAGTCACAAAAAATCTAAAAGTCTTCAGAAATAGATTTTTTAAAAAGATTTATTTACATTATTTGAAAGGCAGAATTACAGAGAGGCAGAAGCAGAGAGAGAGAGAGAGAGAGAGGGAGAGGTCTTCCATTCACTGGTTCAGCCTCCAAATGGCAGTAACAGCCAGAGCCATGCCCATCTGAAGGCAGGAGCCAGGAGCTTCTTCTGTGTCTCCCACACGGTTGCAGGGGACCAAGGATTTCAGTCATCTTCCATTGCTTTTCCAGGCCATAGCAGAGAGTTGGATTGGAAGTGGAGCAGCCAGGACTTGAACAGGCACCCATATGGGATGCTGGCAGCACAGACTGCAGCTTTACTCACTATGCCACAGTACTGGCCCCCAGAAATAGGGTTTCTCTTTCTTTTTCATTTTCTTTTTTTTTTTTTTTAATTTGACAGGTAGAGTCACAGACAGTGAGGGAAAGAGAGAAAGGTCTTCCCTCCATTGGTTCACTCCCCAAATGGCCTCCATGGGCTGGCGCTGCGCCGATCCAAAACCAAGGGCCAGGTGCCTCTTCCTGGTCTCCCCATGTGGGTGCAGGGGCCCAAGCACTTGGGCCATCCTCCACTGCCCTCCTGGGCCATAGCAGAGAGCTGGACTGGAAGAGGGGCAACCGGGACCAGAACCCGGAGCCCACATGGGATGCCGGCGCCTCAGGTGGAGGATCAACCAAGTGAGCCACAGCGCTGGCCCCAGGGTTTCTAAAAAATGTTCTAGGGCCAGAGCCGTGGCCTAGTAGGCTACACTTCTGCCTGCTGCACTGGAATCCCATATGGGCACCCGTTTGTTTTCTGGCTGCTCCACTTCCCATTCGGCTCTCTTTTTATGGCTTGGAACGCAGTAGAAGGTGGCCCAAGTGCTTGGGCCCCTGAACCCATGTGGGAGACCCAGAAAATGCTCCGGGCTCCTGGCTTTGCATCATTCCAGCTTGGGCTATTGCGGCCATTTGGAGAGTGGAGACCTTTCTCTCTGTCTCTCCCTGTCTCCCGCTGTAACTCTGCCTCTCAAAACAATAAATAAGATCTTTTTAAAAGTTCTCTATTTGTTTATATTAAGTAAGCTCCGGATGGACTTGATTATCCAGGCTTGTCTGATGCCGCTGAATTCTTCCACTTGCTGGCTCCCTGTTAATCATGCTTGTAAATGCCCTGTAGGGGTTTTCAGGCCGACGTTTGCTTCTGATCTTTTATATTTAACTGCCCACATGAATCGAGATGGGTAGCATTTAGAGGTTTGCTTACTACTTAGAATTGGGATTCTCTTGGGGCAGGGGTCAAATTAAATCATGGGTTGTGATCCTAGCAATTTAACTTTTCCACTGTTTATTTCTTTCTACATGTAGGAATTTAGCGTTCAAGCATGCTATTTCAGTAAGGGATAATGGGAGTAACCGGGCTGATTGCTGATATGGCCGAGTATGATTAAACAGTATGGGGCTAAATCTTCCCTTCTCTAGTGGTGAAAAAGCGTTGCATTCAAAAATAGACATCAGCTGACTCACCCATTTACCCGAGCAATCTTGGTTTTGGCCAAGATCTGCCGTCTAGTCTTTTCCAAGGAGCAATTTTACAAAACACCAGTAGCAGGTTGGTTCAGTCCTTGAGCCTGGGAATCAGACTTGGTGTTTCTGCCTATAGCACCACATGCCCTGGGCTGAGTTACAGAAACCAGAGGCCTCAGCTCCCCATCAGAAACATGAGGGTGACTGGAGTAGCCACTTTATTTTTATTTATTTTTTAAAAATGGATTTTGCAGCTTTGCCTATTTATTTTAATATTTATTTATTTATTTGAGAGGCAGAGTTACAGAGAGAGGGAGAGAAAGAAAGAGATTTTCCATCTACTGGTTCACTCCACAAATGGCCACAACAGCCAGATCAGCGCCGATCTGAAGCCAGGAGCCAGGAGCTTCTTCTTGGTCTCCCGCATGGCTGCAGATGCCCAAACACTTGAGCCACCATCCATTGCTTTCCCAAGCCATTAGCAGGGGCTGGATGGGAAATGGAGCAGCCAAGACTCAAACAAGTGCCCATATGTGATGTGGGTGCTACAGGCAACAGCTTAACCAACTACACCACTGCATGGGCCCCTGGAGCAGCCACTTTAAAAGGATATTATAAAGGTTAAATAAGGTGACATGGAATATTCTCAGCACAATACCTGTGTTTTTGAGAAGCATTGCCTTTGCTAGTTGTCAATTTTTACTCTCTAGTATTCAGCTAGGTTTAACATTTCCTTTTTCTTTTTGTATGAGGTGCTTGTCTTAGAAATCTGTCAGATACTGGCCTATCCATGGAGGCTGTCAATGTTGTCATGGGGAAAAAGTGTAGGGAGCTGGTGCTGTGTTGCAGTGTGTCCATTGTCAGCCCACAGAGGGAATTCACTCCAGTGCAGAGGCTCAGGAAGGTTTCTTGGCCAGTAATGAAAGCTGAGACAGTGTAGTGAAAGTGTTGGAAGGGACAGTATAATGACAGCAAAGAGTCACATAGTATCTTGCTATGTGCAAGTAACCAAAATTAGGCAAATTCCAGAGAGTAAGATACAAGTGGGAAGAATGGAAAATGACTGAGAGTCCTTTAAAGAGCCTGAAGAATTTGACCTTCATTTTTTTTGTAGTAGAGACCAAGGGAATTATTTCAGCAGTGTTGCTCCATGGATCAACCAAGAGACAGAGACAGAAAGTGGAAATCACCATTTGCAATGAGGCAGACACAGCAGAGACAGAAAGGAAGGATGGGTGTGAAAATGTGTAGGAGGCAAAGTGAGCAGGACTTGGTGGTTGGCTGGAGCGTGGAGGTGAGAGACAGAAGAAAAAGAAAGAACTCAGGTTCCTGAGCTGTGCAACAGGATACATGGGGCTGCACTTCCCTGAGCCGGGGCCTGTGTGAAAGGGGTGGAGATGAGGGTGGGAGAGAGTGGAGAGAAGATATAGTGATGAGTATTGACCTGCACACCGTTTCTTAGGACACACACAGGAGAACATAGCCATTTCTGTACCTTTCGCAAGCCAACAAGAGGGAATCATAATTGAATTTCCATGAATATTTAAAACTGAAAGGAAAAGTCTTGAACTAGAACTATCATTTACAGGTGACTATATGTCAAGATTCTTTGCCAGCCTTGTTAATTTTACATATGCACTATTTTACCTACAAATTATATCTACTCTATCATTTTTTCCTCAAGAATCTATTGATATTTTTTAAAGATTTATTTATTTATTTGAAAGAGATACACAGAGAGAGAAGGAGAGGCAGAGAGAGAGAGAGAGAGAGAGAGGTCTTTCATCTTCTGGTTCACTCCCTAATTGGCCACAACAGCAGGAGCTGCGCCGATCCGAAGCCAAGAGCCAGGAGCTTCTTCTGGGTCTCCCAGGTGGGGGCAGGGGCCCAAGAACTTGGGCCATCTTCTACTGCTTTCCCAGGCCATAGTAGAGAGGTGGATCAGAAGTAGAGCAGCCGGGTCTCAAACCGGTGTGCACACATGGGATACTTCAGGTCAGGGCATTAACCCACTGCACCACAGCACCGACCCCTTGATTTTTATATAATTCTCTTTTTTATATTGTTGAAAGAACTCAAATAATTTCATCAAACTGCTCTTTTTTTAAAAAATTTTTAAAATTTATTTGACAGGTAGAGTTATAGACAGTGAGAGAGAGAGAGAAAGGTCTTCCTTCTGATTGTTCACTCCCCAAATGGTCACCACGGCTGGCACTGTGCTGATCCAAAGCCAGGAGCCAGGTGCTTCTCCTGGTCTCCCATGCAGGTGCAGGGCCCAAGCACTTGGGCCATCCTCCACTGCCCTCCTGGGCCACAGCAGAGAGCTGGACGGAAGAGGAGCAACCGGGACTAGAACCCAGCGCTCATATGGGATGCCAGTGCTGCAGGCGGAGGATTAACCTAGTGAGCCACGGCGCTGGCCCCGTAACTGCTCTTTTTTAAACTAATTAAACATTCAGTTAACCCAACATATTTTTATGAGATAGAGACTGCCTACCAACTGCTGGAAAGATGGTATAAAAATAAAACATAAACATTTTATTGTTTTATAAGACACTTGTGTGTTTTTCGTCACTACTTTCAATTATGTTGCTCCCTTCTCCCTCCACTTTCTGATTATCTTTATGAAAAGTTCAATCTAATTATTCTCAGAAGTTTCAATAGCCCCATTACTGGCTGAATTCACATTTTTAAGGAACTGGGAAGTGGATCCTGCTTCCTGGTGTTTGTTATAGAAAGGAGAGGAATCAGGGTTTATCCCACACAATTGGTTTTCTGTTCTTATTTTTTTATTTTTATTTTTTGAAAGAGAGACAGAGAAATAGGGAGAGAACTCCCATCCTTTGGTTCACTCTGCAGATGCACACAACAGCCAGGGCTGGTGCAGGCCAAATCCAGGAATCAGGAACTCTATCTGGTCTCCCACATCGGTGGCAAGGACCCACCTACTCTAATCATTGCCACTAGCTCCAAGGGTGAGCTTTAGCGGGAAGCTGGAATCAGAAGCAGAGGCTGGTCTCCAGCCCAGGCACTCCAATATGGGATGGCAGTATCCTTAGTAGTATCTTGACTGATGTGTCAAACACCCACCCCTGACGTTCTTGTTCCTGATCTCAGGGTGCCATTGGGCTGGCTC